CCGACTGTACTTCAGGGAATTTTATGCTTATCCTAGTTATATCTCCGTAAATTAACGTAAGAAACATGTTTCCAAGTATTGAGTATGTGAAGCAATATAGAATCAAGATCTGGAAAGGCTCAAAGAACGAGAGGTTTAAACGTCAATGGATTCAGATTGACAGTACTATATTATGAAAATTGACAGGTTCAAGATTCTCAAGTTTGCAACATCTCGATACTACGAACACAATTTTTGAATATTAGAACTTACATAAATATTCATAAACATTCAGATTTTAAATGAGTATTACTATCATTAAATTTATTCTGTACCTAACGATTGGATTAAAGAGTAATCTTTACCTTCACTGCAAGGCCCACAACAACAACAAAAACACGAGAACACCGTCTAATTAAGTAGTCATTAGTCTAATTGATGTATTTACTAGTGACACCAACAAGCCAATACCTCAGTGGGCCTTGGTTTGGGGCGACAGACACGCATTTATTGATTTTTACCGATTTGTTTGGGTGGTGTTGGCCCTCACGAGGACTGGGCCTGGCCTTGGGTGCCAGGTAGCTCACCCTTCTCCTCCTCAACTCTTACTTCAATGTCAAATCGCTACTTGTGTGTTGTCGAGTGACACTCGACTGTCTTGCCAACATTAACATAAACTTAATAACTAATACGTTACCTGAAATTCGAGTATATGGTATCTAGGCACTATTCATGTGTATCCTGAATATGCCTCTCCTAATTAAGATGATCAAATATTATTTGGTAATGGTGTAAAGGCGTGTGAACACTTTTCCCTAGTGTTTGTTAAAGATATGTTATAGGTGACCCCCATTCCGTATATTAAATAATATAAGACGGAGAGTAATATTACCCTTCAAATCGAACATTGACCCCAACCTTTATCCTTTGATCACACTGTACTCTATTGTGCTCTTGAGAACTGAACTACTCAACCAGGGAACACACACACTGGGTGGCTGGGGGTACAGAGGAACATGCTGTAATCTATACATCACTCCTAATCTATACATCTTTATTAAAAGGGTCACACGACGTCATACCAAAAGCCAGCTACAGCAAGAACCACGCCTCCTTCTCCGCAATGTTTCCTCGTAGATTATCGCACCAGCTCGAGACACAGAGGTGTACATGAGGCCAAGTGGCGTATAGAACAACGCGGTAATATTTTAAACCCGGTGTAGAGAGGAGAGTTGGTGCCAGAGGTGGTGGGTGGTGGGAGGGAGTGTCTCTCACCACCGGCACCACCCCCCGCTCATAACACCTCCCTTACCAAGACATTCACACTCAAATCTTGCCCTTACCTTGTGGCCCGGGGTAAATCCACCCGATATATCGATCAGTGACAAGAGTGTGTAGTGAGTGTTCTACATATATTTCACACTAGGCCCACCACAACGCTACCGCAACACTGACACAGGCCAAGCTACTCCACTCTCACCGCTGGCCAGCCTCGCCACTCTCCACCGCGGAACACAAACTAGTTCCTCCAAAACTATGTCACACTCCACTCTCTCAATATAACAGCTTTAACATTTTGTATATATGGTACTTGCAGTGTACGTGTCTAATGTTCGAGGCTTCAGGTTAGCTTATACATTCTTAAATGTGGAATTCCTGAATTGATATCTATCCACGCCTAGCAATTGTGCCAATTCTACGAAAATAATGCAGTAGAATTCTGTTTTGACTTGAACTTGTGTTTTAAAAGTAATAAATCAGACTTTAAAATATTACACCAGTTTAACATTGCCCTAAAATCAAGCATTTGTATTAATACAGACGAATATCTTCAGCCAATTAAATCCCTTTAACACGGACAAATTATATATAAATATAAGCTACAAAATTAAATATCCCGATCATATTATCAAGAAAGAAAAGAATGCGCCAATGCTGTTTAGTTGAGAGGAAATAAAAGCTTAAAGAACACAGAGATATAACAGATAGTAGTATCCGCTCCAGCTAAAAGTGCCGCTTCCCGCCATAAGGGTGCAGACGTGGCACCGCCGCAACAGTCTCCTCATTTGAGAATGATGTCATTGACGCCTTTGACTATACTTGCACGTGCTCAACGACTCAGCCTTTGCCCTTTCTCAGAATTAAATCTAAATTAGGGACAGTGGCCGCACGAAATGGCTGTTTTGCTGATGGGGGCGAAGGTAGACCATGCGAGCAAATGTGACTGGAAGAATGGAGAGCTGCGGGTAGAAGTATAGGGGGGCGTGGCATGTCCGTGAGTCATGCCGTGAGAATGCTTAACCTCCGTATCCCTCGACACTATCATGATCACACACTGGGAAGACTCGCCACTGTCATGATCACACACTGGGAAGACTCGACACTGTCATGATCACACACTGGGAAGACTCGCCACTGTCATGATCACACACTGGGAAGACTCGACACTGTCATGATCACACACTGGGAAGACTCGCCACTGTCATGATCACTCACTGGGAAGACTCGACACTGTCATGATTACACACTGGGAAGACTCGACACTGTCATGATCACACACTGGGAAGACTCGACACTGTCATGATCACTCACTGGGAAGACTCGACACTCATGATCACACACTGGGAAGACTCGGCACTGTCATGATCACTCACCCTCGTAACAAAGGCTACTCACTGTCAGAGTTTAGTTTAGGTCAGAGCCGTCACCTCTAACAATGCCAGGAACTGTGAGACAAACACTGATTGCATGCAAAATTAGAAGATGATTGAAGAGAATACCAAGAAGATTTAAACATTTTCAAATCACCGCCTTATAAATGTGAATATTCCCTATAGCTACAGCGATGAGGGTATTTTCATAGTATTTTCACAGAATATATTCCAAATTGTGACGAATTCGCAATTAATGAACGAATTGCATTCACTCTGAATAAATACAATTAGACTACAACAGGAATGAAAAATGAATAATTTGAAGACAAGTCACTGCATGTATGCTTCGTCTTTATACTATGCAGTCATTCGTCTATTATTAAATAAATACTTTAAGAGAAAAGTAACGATCAGTGGGACAGTGCTCACGTACATGTGCTCTCAGCGCTAGACATTTACTTTCATTATTTCACTGCCTATAAGAATCTCGTATGTCGTGGTCATGTCACCTTTTATCTTTCTATTTTCAGCATTGTGTGGTCTAGTTTTCTTGGCCCTTTTCTCGTAGCTCAGTCTTTTAAGTTCAGTCACCAGTCTTGTGGTAACTCTCATGGAACTTCTATATGTTAATACATAATAATAATAATAAAAATAATAATAATAATAATAATAATAATAATAATAATAATAATGTTTATTCAGGTAAAAGTACATACCTGTACATTAAAAATGAGTTACAAACAATGTTGGATTTCTTGTTAGAGCCAGTACATACTATGCCTAAACCCACTAATACGCACAGCATTTCATGCAAATTTATAGACTGTGCAAAGTTAATGTAAAGGGGTAATATCGGAAGAGGACTTCAACCTACTCTAGAGGAATTAAAAACAAACCATAGGATTAGGCAGACAAAATGGATACAAGAATTCAGTACCAACAAATGCAAAGTAATGAGAGTTAGAGTGAGTCAGGGAATGAGATGGACCAGGACGAGGATACCACACTATAACACCAGAAATGCAAGTAACAGAATAACCTGCAGCACTGCAAAACTTGCAAACAATATGAGGGACCTTGAGAAACCTTAACGGAATCATTCACAACACTACAGTCACGTCAGACCAGTCTTAGAGATCACATCACCAGTATAGAACCTCCACCTTGTGAAGCATGAGTAAGTCGAGAATATTCTGAGATGACTACAATACTCATGTTGAAACTAAGGAAGCTTATATAGTTATGAAGACAGGATAAGAGAGACTAATCAAGCAATACCAGAGGAGATATAATCACAGCATACAAAATATGAGGGATCACAAAACGAGTTGGAAAATGGAAACACATTTACCCTAGGGCCACCATTCCTATATAATGGCCTCAACAGGGACAACATGCTTGGTCTTTGTCAAAAGTCCTCCCCCCCCCCATTATTCCTGAGGAGTTTTTCCAGCTGAATATTAAACTGAAGTTATGGCTTCGGTGGGTAGAACTTATAGGTTACATGGGTTTATCTGTCTATAAAATAGAATGTCAGTCTTTCCCTCTCCAAAGCAGGAGGGACAGATGCTTGGGGCGAGCTTCTCCTAACTTTCCAACATGAAACACTGGGAGCATGTGAATGTCATACAATACTTTACACCTAAAACAAAAAAGCTCAGCGATTACCATCACAGAAGTACCATTACTGCTCTCAGTAACATTCATATGCATACTGAAAGTTGGGTACACTGTCCTCTACACTTTGACGAGAGGAGGGGCTTCATACAGGACACTCAACTGCCCTTCAGATTAGCAGAATATTCAATTAGGCCCCCTCGTCATGGCAAGGCAGTAGTACTCATTAGCTGGAATATATAGTACTGCATACATTAAACCATTCCCATTGTAACTTTTATAAATACTGAAAATTATCGTTCTGTACCTATACCATACATACTTTTCTTTCATTTTATTTCTGGCTTCTAACTTTAGGGGTACTACATCCCAGTTATTTACATAAATAAATAAATACTGGTCTTGTCAATCAATCTAAACTTTCCTAAATAATTTTTTTTCCATCAATTTTCTTGAGATAATATATAAAGCATTAATATGGTCATTCAAACTGAATTAACCCCTCAATGTTGAATTGAATTGAATGCTAGAATTCAGCCAGAAGCCAAGCACTGAGACTTGTCATCATTCAGCACTGAAGCTTGGTCACAAGAAGTGTACAAGGTATGTTTATAGTGACGAGTCTCTACTCGTTCTTCTCCCAAGCCTTGTTATCATAACTAACGTTTCAATTTCTTGTACCACAATCCCACCTGATGAAGGCACAGCAAAGCACAGCATTTCATACTACAGGAAAAATATTTAGTAATATATGAAAAGCAATTTTATTCCAAATATCAATATAAAAAAAGAATTAATCACAGGTTATTGTTCAATAGTGCAATGCAATTTACAATATCCAAAATTTTTCTCACGACCTATGTGACTTAGTTCAGCAACAAAATTGTAAGGGTAAATGTACAATGCTAAATGAAACTGCATATTATAGGGATTAATATTATAGCTAAGAACATTCAATTACTGTAGTTCATATTACAGTACTTGTAATATATATTGAGATATATATATATAAGAAGAGGTAGCAGGTATAGTGCTCAAATTGTTCAACATATAATATCTGGTTTGCAGTCTTGATACAGGTAATATATACAAGTAATTTTGGATGTTTAAATGAAAATTTCTTGAATATTTTCTTTTTCTGGCATTTAACTTGCATTTACTCTACTACCAAACTAATCATTTATTAATATAACTTTGCTAGTATTTGATTAACTAATTAAAAAAAATGTACACATGTAATAATCACTTGCATTACAGTATAACCATGCACACACAAACACACACAAATGCGCACACAGCAAACTGCACATCACACAAACAAAAGTACAGTACTCTATTTTGAAAAATACAGTAAAACAATTGCTGGAATTTTTTTGTAGCATTTATCATTAATAAATTATATTTTTTATCATTATTTATCAACAAGGGGAAGCAATTATACTGTAATTAATTTGTTTAAACTTATGTAATGTGTACATGTACCGTAAGAGGCTTTGCCATGGGTCATAAACGCTGTGGAAGGTCCTAAAAATTCAGACCCCAAAGATCTGGGAGGACCCCAGGGAATCACGTGCAGTAAAGATGAAGCACAGTAAGGATCGTATATATGGTAGCAAAGATTGCACGTATTGAAGCTCATGTGAAGTTAGAAGCATGTGTAGTGAATGAAAACGTAGCCTGTTGGTGACTGTGTGTTATGAGGCAACTCGCAAAATAAAATCTATGGAGGACTGCAGAGAGCGTGGGAAGATAAGCCCTGTTTTGAATTCAGCAATGCTAGTTATTCCTGCTAGTATTTTGCATATACCATATTTAGTGAAAGAATTAATTATTAACATAACTAGAATCCTGTACATATGGTAGTTATATTAGATGGTAAAACCCTTTCGAAAACTATTTGTAGACAAGTATCTTCCATTAAATCTTTGTTACCAAGTCAAATATCTTATCAAGATAATATGATGTCTAAGGATTATAGTCCACAGAGTTAACTTAGAACTTTATATTTACCAATCTTTCACTTTAATTTAAAACACACACACTTGCATATCAGCATATATTTACACACACACCTAAAAATACACACACACACACACACACATGCATTCATACAAACAACATATGTATGCACACATGCAAGCCTGACAGTCTATAGGCATGCCATTATACTGGTCCCTGAAATAAATTATCTAAACTACTAGAACAGATTGAAAGAATCAATTCTAACATCCGTGAAGAAATTACAGCATAGAAAGGGAATGATTATGATATACAAGATTAATTACATACAATATCCTGCTTCCTATTTATGAGGTGGGGAGGCATTAGCCCAGAGAAAAAAAAATATGATTATAGGTATTAAATACTGTACTAACAATTTAAATATTACTCATCCAATCATTATTTCACTCTGCAGATGAATATATCATTCACAAGATACAAGTATCACCATTAACAAGACAAACACAACCAAGCTCTTCCTAAGGGGTGGGACCAGATCAATGAGACAAATGGAAAATGAAACCGTGAATAAGCCAAAGAAATATAAGAAATTTCTTCAGCATACAGGTAGTGAAGGAGTAAAATTCCCTGGGAGAAGTAGTGGAAGAAAATTTACATGGATTAAAAATGTAAAAGACAGAATGCATGGAGCTTAAGGAATGAAGCACACCAATTGGTTAATAGCTAAAACATGATACCCAAGAGTTGCAACTCATTTCCTATAAACAAGCACTCTTACTGAGTACAAAAGACAAATATATACACACACACATAAGAAGCAAAAATCAGACAGAAAATGTAAGAAATCTAATAGTTTTGGATAAAAGTATGAAGATATAAACATTTTATGCAGTATTGACTTAGGTTTTTTGTTTATTTTAATGTCTATGAAGCACAAGTTCCCATCTACTGACTTATCAACAGTTTGATTTTGGAAAGTGCAGTGTGCTACTTTGTCCAGAAGCATTTTGAAGACATTCATATGCAGTACATAAAGTGGAATATATTACTGCATTTTAAGAATTAAAAAGAGAAGTGCAATCCTAAGCTACTGTATATAGGTAGGTTACTCACTTCATAACAAATGGTTATCAACACAACAATGATACAAATAAAAAAAGGAGCTAAGCACTACTGAAGCTAGAATTACCCTTTTTCTCTTGCATTAATGTTATGGTTTATTTAAACTGATGAAAGTAACACACAGCCATTTTGTTGTAGTTAAAACATTCTTATAAATCATCAATTGTCATTTATTTACACAATAATGAACAGCTTCAAACTACAAAGCCATATATATACTGTATATCCTAATAAACTATACAAAATATATATAAAACAGTTATTCTTTCAAACCTTGCAACATTAATCTTCATGGTTCGACCTTAAATCATATATGCTTTCAATAATTTTTTTACTGTTACATAAACAGTAGCATTATAGGTAGCTAACAGTCATCACCGAGTTCAGTCTCATACGGTACATACTTTGGCATGAACATGCCAAAAGAATATAAGCAACTGATCAACCTTCCTTTCCTATTGATGAGTTTCAATACACTGTACTGTAGTGTACTGTCAAAGATAAGCAAAAATCAACATACAAAACATATAGTGAAAAGATAGCCAGAGATTTAGAAAGACCTCATCTCATTTTCTGATTTATAGGAAGCACAATGAATTTCTATCAAAATAATTTAGTTTAATATTTAATAGCCTAGACTCTACAAAATACCTAATTTACTACTCTATACAATTGTAAACAAAATAGATATACTGTACTGTAGTGTATACATTATATTTCTTTTATCCTAAGTGCTAGTAAATTGCAAATGTGCATAATTCAGCTATGCTTCAGATCAGGTTATTATTACTCTATATGTATGAGAAAAAATACAATAAACAATATTTCCTATAGTACCAAAAGTAAATACTTTCTGATGAAGAGCTGAACATTATGATTACCGGCATATTAACCCACAGTAATTCAGTACTGGAAATAGCAACGTTCTGAACCAACACAGAGTAAGAATCTTTGCCCCATACACCAGGAATCGTCTATAACAAATCTGTATGACTCACCACTATTCATTTTTGTTCACAAGTTAAACAAATTTTAATTGCCTTATATTTTAAGGCTGTTAAGTTTGGGAAGTCTGACAACAAAGTTCTTAGATTTAGAACATCTGAGGCTCGTCTAAAGGGGAAATCTTTTGTTCTAAAATACTGCATCATTTCAATCAATATTAATTAGGATGAAGCTATGCTTATTAGTTATTTATACAGTATATCACTCAAGGTATCCCTCTCCCACAATAGGAACTTTCCTTGCACCACCATAAGCCCTAAAAGTTTCGAGATGATACAGTACATAGTAATCAGACCAGATACATTAATGCACAGACACTGCAAACTTTCTCCAAAGGTAACTGACAAATCCATAAGGTATCTTTACCTGCTATGTTAGATTACAGTCTGCATCCCACTTTCTGATCTTTGCCCACTGAAATCGTACACCTATTCATTCTCGATTTGACCCAGAAAGGTACTGTAATGTTAACAAAACCATGAACAATAAAGTTAATCTGTATGAAGTATGGAGCATGTGCATGGGATATGGCCAAACATCTGACCTTGAAGTATGGGCTAGAACAAACTTTGGCCCACATGTAGTAACTTTCCTCCAGAGGGTGACATAGGCATTGAGGGTTTTGTGCAAGTAATTAATGAAAGAAGGCACAAAGCTGGGACTGGGACAACACAGACTATGTAGCATAAGTCTGTGTTGCTAGATAGTCAAAAGGCATTAAGTATCACTCAAGATCCCAATAGATTAGAAGGTTACCAATTAGAACAGAAGGACACAAGACAAATGATACCATAGGAATGGATTTAACAAGGATTTATCGAGGGTCAACGAACTCCCTAGGGACATTAGGAAAGCAAATCATACGATCATCCCAAAAATCAAGGCGTTCTACAAGAAGGTGCACGACTAAGTGGAACAATGCAGTTTGGACAAAAGGGAGCAGGATATTGTTCCATTAAGTGACCATGAGTTATGCAAGTGTGACTGATCCACGATGTAGCCAAACCCATTTCCCATCTCCTATTATGGTGGTAAGAGGAAGGCCAAGGAGAAAGGTCACTTTTAAGAGCATGTAGTTTCTTATCCATAATGCCAGCCCAGTGACCCTGCCAACAGTCACACAATACAAAATGAGTGACCAGGTAGAAATCGAAATAAGGAATCTCTTTCCAGAAAATATTACAAGCATGAATGGCCTCCTTAGTGTCAGCGCCTGCAAATTCATTCAAAGTAACTTCAATGTGGTTGGGAACTAAGTAAAACTTGACTTTTATATCTGCCAGAGATTAGAAACAGCCAGTACTGTATTGAATTTTAACCACCACAGGATGTAAAGGGGTTAAAAGCCTCAAGAGCCATGAGGGCACAGCAATAATCCACCCAATGAAAAAGAAACATTGATGCAGAAAAAGCAGCTGATGAAGTGCATACAAAGTTGCCTAAAATTCCGCCATGAAGATGCTCGTCTTCATGGGGTAGGTAGCACACGTCGGTCAGATCAGAAAAAACAATGGAGTAGCCAACGCGGTTGGTAGACTTAGACCCATCATTGAACACGGCAATGGAGTAAGAATAGGAATAAATGTAATAAATGTTAAAGGAACAGGATTATCAAATTAGTAGAGAGAGTACAAACCTTCACCATGTGGGTAAGTTCTTGCAAAATTTCATACATATAAACTCTTGGCAGGGGATGAATGAAAGGCATCAGAGTCAAGGTATAACCCAGTATGATGCAAAGCATCAAGATGACAAAAGGTTGAGGCTGAAGCTAAGGAATATGCAGGGCAGCCATTATCGAGTTTAGACAGAGCAAGAGAGGAGTGAAAATAGAAGAGTGTGCAGCTATCAGCCCCCCAGGTAATATGGAACAAGATTAAGTAAGGTAAGGGCCTTTGATTATTCAACTTGGAGGGTGAGAAACATGGGGTGACCAAGACAGACATATGTCCAAGATCAACCCAAGAGTTTGGCAGTATCCTTATACATAATGGGATTATCATAGAATGAAAACAGGACACAAGGGATGATATGTCTCCAAATAAGTCATAGAACAAAGTCTTAGTCATAGAGAACTTGAAACCATGATTGGTAGCTCAAGATAACACTTTATCAATCATGAGATGAGGAGTTGATATTGTTGAGTGCTGAGAAAATGCCAGAGGGGGGGGGAGGGTGGACTTGAGACCATTCAGTGCAACCCGAAAAAGAAAAAAAAAAAAAGAGTAGTGCTCAGAACACTATTTTGGGAACCTTCATACTGTTCAAAGGTTGTGGTATAAATAAAGTCAGTCGTAGAAAAAGAGACAAGGAACTCCTCGACTAAGTTAAGGAAATAATATTCACAGAATTCAAAAGTTGGTAATGGACGAGGAAGAGGGCCACAATAAGAAAAACATGAAGGAAGTTGACACATATTTTGAAACAATTTTAATGTTCATGGAGAAAAGGCCAATTGATACTTGGAGTACAATAAATTTTTACTGTGTCAACAGAGATTTTCCGAGAATTAAAAAAAAGGTTTAAAACAACTGATACACATTTATGAGAGGGCTGCCAAGAGACCTCAAACTGAAGCCTTTTGTGTTCCATCTATGTGTAACCCTGAACTCTAAGCAGCTCAGCATTAAGCCTCAACTTTTACCTTGATCCTCAATTGCCACAACATAGTCACCTGGACAACATTCCAAGAGCTTACAGCATGTGGACTAAAAACTTAGACCCTTTGCAAGTACACAAGTACTGTATCTTTATAGTATTTAATGTATTACTAAACATTTATTTCATTTTATACTATGTACTATACCAATACAATATTGTATTGTGATGTCTTTAGCTTACTGTATTTAATAAACCTATATTATGATGTGTTTTCAGGAAAAATTTATATGATGTGGGGACAGAAGGGTACACAAAAATATAAATAACTAAAGTGTTTCGACCTAGTTCAGTCTCAAGCTGGTTGGAGTGTGGGATGGCGACTGTACAGTATAATAATAATAGTACATGATCCATGCCTGATAAATTTAATAAAAAAAGGCATGAACTGCACTTGCCAAATAAACATACTGTATTACTTATTCAAGTACATAGTTGTTTAGAAAATATCATCAGGTGACTACAGTAAAAATTTTGTTAAAAATAAAAATGCATGAAGGAAGTATCAATGAAGCTCTATTAAAGAACTTAATTATTAATTTAAAAGCTATATACTGTATTTAAGAAAATACTGAAATTTCAAGCCAATTCTTCTTTTATTCATGTATTTTGAGAAGAAACTGAAAGGTGATGGAAGACAGAATGGATAATGGTTTATATACCAACAGTTCAAAAACTATAAGGTCAAGTCCTCAGTAATTGGCTAGCTTCAGTAATGGACACTCCCAGCAAAACATGAAAACTATTACCAAATGTGTTTCATAAAACGAGAGCAGAAAACCAAAAACCAATAAATCAGAAAATCTTGAAATACAGGTATATTAGTTTTGTACAGAATATACAAACAGGGAAGATATGCTAACTGAAAATATAAGTTTATTATTTTTAACATTTCAGGTCAGAAAATATGGTTAGTTCCAGCTTCTCATTGAAGCTAATTGTGAGGGAGTAAGGTAGGATCTAATATGTGTACCCTTGGAAACCTCAAGACACAGAAAATGGATAGTTCCTGGTCATCATTATTCCACCTTAGTGATTTATACAATATTATGTGCTTGAGATTTTTAGCAATACATCTTTAAAGGTGTCTTAATATACACCTGTAGTATAGTATGTCAGTGTTAGCAGGTGACCTGACATCTGGTTTGTCTCAAGGAGTTTACGAGATGATTCCAACGCCAAGTGACCAAAACCAATGCCAACACTTGATAATATACTTTAGTGTAGACTAATATTTTAACCTACGTAATATATATTACAAAGGTGGTTGCAATATAAATATAATACAGTATACACATTTTTAAACTGGCTATACTGTACTCATTTAAAAAAGGGTGATATACTGTACTGGGTTGCACACCAATGAACCAGGCTAAAACTTTGGCCACTACAATACAGTATCTTTGGTAATATCTCAATAGATTTTGCATTACAACCTTGATGGTGATGTTATTTTGTAAATAAACATCTCCTCTTTCAATTTGCAAAATTTTGTATTCCACTCATTCAAAATAGCAATTTAATTGGCAGAGGAATAGCAACCTTACCCTAGGTAGTAAAAAAATGATGCTAAGCTTTTTCAAAGTTAAACTTTTTATGTTAACAATGAAATGTAATCAGCATTATTTGTCTAAGATTGTCAACAAAGATAAACCCATAAAAGTTAATGTAAAATTTTAAACCAGCTAATTTCCATGATGCCTTTCAACTGGTACTTAACATTCAGTCCTACAGCAGATCTTCCTACAGATCAGCAGCCGGTATATGGGCACAATCCTAAATTATCTACTCGCATGTATAAAATGGCTCCATTACACACATCCATGCATATCCGGTAACTATAGTAACTCTCAAGCTCTTTGCTCAAAAACAATTTCACAAGCAAACCTAAAACTAACTATGCACCTCTCACACACTGTAATTTATTTTACATAATGCCCAATTTTAACAAATACTACTATACTGTATGCTCTTTTATGATTCATACTATATTACATACACTGCAGCTAATCAACATTTCTTAACTACCAGTATACCAGTTTTCTACATTCATCTTCATTCAGTTTTGTGTATGAGAATAATACAAATAATAATTACATCTAACTCAAACCAGGTACAAATGCTCCCTTGTATGAAATCAAATTCCCTGCAGTTTATGGAAACTGAACACAATATTTGCATAATTTTTTACTTTAGTGTCTGATGATCTGCAGCATTGTATATTTCTTCATCATCTCCATCATCTGCAGCCAGGGGAAACATCTCCTGGTCATCACCATGCGACAATACCCTGTACTTTCTTGTTGCACGTCGACGTCGAAGCCTGAAAAATAGAAATCATGACAATCGAAGTTCTCTGCTATCATATTAAAATTTTGATTCAGGAGATCTTATAAATTTTGGTAATCCTAGTACATAGCCCAATGGCAGTGTGAATTAATATATTATATAGTATTGTAAAGTTATCTTGCCAAGTAAAAGATATTATTCATCCTGCTAGCAAATGGCTGAGTGACAAAGATAAACTGAGGGAAATTTACTAGTCATAAAAACAAAGTCATTGGCACTAGAAAAACTAAGGTTGACCATTGTTTATACGAGTATGCACTCAACCATAAACTATATTGCCATAATGCCTCAGAACCAATTATTATAATTGGCCCTTGAGGCATTAAGGCAAGTAATGAGGCATTGGTTCTTAATAATACAGTATTATGAAAGCATAATCCAGATAATGGTAAGCTGATCTATACCAGAATCGATTAAAAAGTTGAACACTGCAAATCTATAAGAATTTTTCTGACAAAATACAAATTTATTTTCTTACCTTAAGAGTTTGACAATAATGTACATAAGCACAATGGAACCCACTCCAACAAACACATAGAAGCCGCGCAAAACTGCTTCCGAAGATATTCCTTTTAGGCCTCGCATAGGTTGATGTTCATCTATGGACTCTTCACCTAAAATAAGTTAAATTTCAAATTACAGTACTGTATAATTTGTTTTGCACATATATATTCTTTACATACCCCAGAATGCAACTAGATATTTTTCAATTGCAGCTGATAAGGAAAGGCATCACCAGTCCCTTATCCCAGACATATTTTACAATACAAAATATTATTTAGTGTTCTTAAAAATACAAATATTGTCCATCTCAACTATGTATTGTACTGTATTGTATAGCCATATACAGTTGTGGACAATCTAAAAAATGCACAATAAATAAGTGTAAGTAGGCTGTTAATGGGTGGCAGGTACATAGGTGGGCAGTTGTAGGTGTTTATTGGGTGGATAAATGGGTAGGAAGTTTGTGGGCCACAAGCCTACAAATAAAGCCATCCATGAAATAACATTCAGGTGAAGCTTCTTAGTCATACTGGCCTGTAGTTTAGCTGTATTTGTTTTTTACCTTTTTATATTGGCACCACATTAAACATTTTCTAACAGCCTGGTAGCTGTTCTTTTCTAATGTGGAGTTTAATACATTGGGAAAGGATCTTCATAGCAATTTAAATAGAAAATTAAATTATTTTCATTTTCCATATACTTAGCATAAGAAATACATCTGTACCATCAAATTTAACAGTAAAATATGGTTAAATTTTTTTTAAATATCTCCCTAATATAGAGAGATTTACCAAGTAAATGAAAAAAACATGCTAAACTGAGTGACATGAACTATATCCATAATTAAAATAAGCAATCGTGCGACCAACCTGCATCATTTGTGGGAGCCGTGCCAGGGTTGTCACTCTCAGCCTTAACATGCCCTGTCTGCCCTACTGGGCTCTTAGTTGTCACATTTGATTCAGACTTTTTGTCCTCGGGCGTTGCAACAGGTGTTTCTGAAGGTACTTTGTCAGGCTTGGATGGCGGCGAGTCTCCAGTCTTCCCTGACACGTCACGCCTGACTACTGACACGTGGCTACCTGCTCCAGTCTTCAAGCTTCCCGGCCCTTCTGCCCCTTCAACGCCTGAGAATATTAAGAAAACAACAACACCCACAAAAATCTTGAACAAGAATGGCTCAAAGATGTTCCTGGCGAGGAAGGTACAGCATCTCGTCGGTGGTAGAACATCCTTCTCAGTGCTGTTCTTCCGGTGTATGGCTGTCTCACACTCACCCATACTGCTAAATAAAAGGCCCTTAAGCGGTAAATTCTTGTTAACTAAGCGTTATAGGCGAGTGGTGTTAAGAAGGCCACCATGACGGAGTGCCAACAAGACGTCTCACAGCCGCCGCAGACGTCACCCACAGGAACGTCAGTCGCCTCTGTTGTCATCACAGTCTTCAGGAATTATATCTCTTTCATAACTAAATATCTTCCTAATTCATGTAATTTCTAATTCATATTTATTATTTCAAAGTAAATTATTTTAGTAACTCTACACAGAGAGTTGGGTGAGAATGTAAAATGTAATTTTATTTTTAATGTAGATATGACAGAGTTAGCTATCATCCTCCACTTTTTAGACTATATTTTGATTACATATTTTATTATAATGACCTTAACCAGGATGAAACCCATAAGAATTGATTTCCTCTTGGGTAGCTATTTAATTTGATTTCTGCAAATGAAATTTATCTGAGGGGTCACTGACATATATTGGTCTCGACGAAAGAAAGGATTAGTAGAAATTCTAAAAGAGAATCAAATAGTTTCCGACTTTCATATTATTTCACCTGTCAGCTAATGATATTAGGTGAACATGCTTGTGCTTTAATTTTATTTAGTAGCCCCTCATATATAATATGGTATTAGTAGTAGAAGTAGTACATTGTACTACCTAAGCTTTTAATCAAAACAAAATGCATAAATTCACTACACAATTGAGGTTCTTATTTGCGTCTTATTTCATTGTAAAAGGAGTTAATTTCCAAACAGGGTTGTATAAATAAATCTTATCTTATCTTTGCATTCAATTTTGTACGGTAATTTTTCAAACTTAAAATGTAAATAGCTATATATATATACCCCCTCTAAATGAAAAATGGCCTAATTTAACATATGTGCTAAAAATATTAACATAAATAATTCGTTTGTTAGATAACAAGATATTCATAGCAATAAGGTTTCTTGGAATGGCCTATAATGCACGCAAATACTAGTTTACGCACTTTTCGGGTAGTACGACTGGAATTTCAAAATGGCGTTCAAACGGCGGTTGGTCGTTGAAAGCTCAGCCAGTCAGTAGTGTCGCTGCCGCCAACGCGACAACATGTACTGCTGATTTCCGACATCAGCAACATTGCTCCAGGTAAGAGTGATAATTCTTTTTGACATATTTATATCTTATATATACACAGTATATAGAATTATATAATATAATGGGGTTTGGCGTATGGAGTTTGCTTCGAACAATGACTATCAATGTTAGTTTAGTTCGTTTATTATGCACCCCATACCCATCTTGTGTGCTTCCAGGGCTTAGTGTCCCCGCGGCCCGGTCGTCGACCAGGCCTCCTGGTTGCTGGACTGATCAACCAGGCTGTTGGACGCGGCTGCTCGCAGCCTGACGTATGCGTCACAGCCTGGTTGATCAGGTATCCTTTGGAGGTGCTTATCCAGTTCTCTCTTGAACACTGTGAGGGGTCGGCCAGTTATGCCCCTTATGTGTAGTGGAAGCGTGTTGAACAGTCTCGGGCCTCTGATGTTGATAGTTCTCTCTGAGTACCTGTTGTACCTCTGCTGGGCGGTAGTGGAAAGGGTTACAGAGGCACATAATGGGCTCAGGGACTGAACCCCACAATTCATTTAGCTAAGCAAGTTACAATCTTGATGAGCTAGTTACAAAATTGAATATAAGTCGTCACATATCAACAATGGGTTCGAGATCGACCTCAAGTACAGGTTCTAAATTAAGCACCTGATATATGTGGAGAGCTAGTGTCACAATTTATGTTTGTCCTGCACACCGCCCCCATCCAGTGGGCAGCGGTGGATAGGTTACAATCACTCGGTTACTACCTACAGTTAGCAGACTGGGGATATTTGGCTAAAATTTCTGGTAGCAGATCAGGTCCCCCATTTGTTCCGATTTTTTTTTCAAATTGGATTTTACAATTCAAGTGTTATGTTATTTACTGCTTTAGCAGATAGGCGGTTCCATGGGTTTATAACCCTGTGGGTGAAAATATAGCTTATGTTTTCAGTCCTACACTGCGGCTTGTTGGACTTGAAACCGTTGTTCCTTGTTTGTGTTCCATCTGACCTTTTGAAGTTGTTCTCTGGATCCATATCTTCGAAACTGTTCAATATTTTAATAGGCAGGCGATGAGTCACAATAACGTGGCTGAAGTATGTTGACCAGACCACACACTAGAAGTTGAAGGGACGACGAGTTTCGGTCCGTCCTGGACCATTCTCAAGTCGATTCAAGTCGATATTTTAATAGTTTCGGTGAGATCCATCCTGGCATGCCTAGTTTGCAGTGTTGTTAGCCCTGTGACCCTCAACCGTTCATGGTATGAAACTAGACCTCATTCTGCAATTATTTTTGTCGCCTGGTGTTCAATTTTCTTCATGAAAGGTTGGGCGCGGGGTGGGTTCTCTGTCGGCCTCCAAGTGGGTTCTCTGTCGGGCTCCAAGTGGGTTCTCTGTCGGGCTCCAAGTGGGTTCTCTGTCGGGCTCCAAGTGGGTTCTCTGTCGGGCTCCAAGTGGGTTCTCTGTCGGGCTCCAAGTGGGTTCTCTGTCGGGCTCCAAGTGGGTTCTCTGTCGGGCTCCAAGTGGGTTCTCTGTCGGGCTCCAAGTGGGTTCTCTGTCGGGCTACAAGTGGGTTCTCTGTCGGGCCCCAAGTGGGTTCTCTGTCGGGCCCCAAGTGGGTTCTCTGTCGGGCCCCAAGTGGGTTCTCTGTCGGGCCCCAAGTGGGTTCTCTGTCGGGCCCCAAGTGGGTTCTCTGTCGGGCCCCAAGTGGGTTCTCTGTCGGGCCCCAAGTGGGTTCTCTGTCGGGCCCCAAGTGGGTTCTCTGTCGGGCCCCAAGTGGGTTCTCTGTCGGGCCCCAAGTGGGTTCTCTGTCGGGCCCCAAGTGGGTTCTCTGTCGGGCCCCAAGTGGGTTCTCTGTCGGGCCCCAAGTGGGTTCTCTGTCGGGCCCCAAGTGGGTTCTCTGTCGGGCCCCAAGTGGGTTCTCTGTCGGGCCCCAAGTGGGTTCTCTGTCGGGCCCCAAGTGGGTTCTCTGTCGGGCCCCAAGTGGGTTCTCTGTCGGGCCCCAAGTGGGTTCTCTGTCGGGCCCCAAGTGGGTTCTCTGTCGGGCCCCAAGTGGGTTCTCTGTCGGGCCCCAAGTGGGTTCTCTGTCGGGGCTCCGGGGCGGGTTAATTGTCGGTCGGGGCTCCGGGGCGGGTTAATTGTCGGTCGGGGCTCCGGGGCGGGTTAATTGTCGGTCGGGGCTCCGGGGCGGGTTAATTGTCGGTCGGGGCTCCGGGGCGGGTTAATTGTCGGTCGGGGCTCCGGGGCGGGTTAATTGTCGGTCGGGGCTCCGGGGCGGGTTAATTGTCGGTCGGGGCTCCGGGGCGGGTTAATTGTCGGTCGGGGCTCCGGGGCGGGTTAATTGTCGGTCGGGGCTCCGGGGCGGGTTAATTGTCGGTCGGGGCTCCGGGGCGGGTTAATTGTCGGTCGGGGCTCCGGGGCGGGTTAATTGTCGGTCGGGGCTCCGGGGCGGGTTAATTGTCGGTCGGGGCTCCGGGGCGGGTTAATTGTCGGTCGGGGCGGGTTAATTGTCGGTCGGGGCTGGTTAATTGTCGGTCGGGGCTCCGGGGCGGGTTAATTGTCGGTCGGGGCTCCGGGGCGGGTTAATTGTCGGTCGGGGCTCCGGGGCGGGTTAATTGTCGGTCGGGGCTCCGGGGCGGGTTAATTGTCGGTCGGGGCTCCGGGGCGGGTTAATTGTCGGTCGGGGCTCCGGGGCGGGTTAATTGTCGGTCGGGGCTCCGGGGCGGGTTAATTGTCGGTCGGGGCTCCGGGGCGGGTTAATTGTCGGTCGGGGCTCCGGGGCGGGTTAATTGTCGGTCGGGGCTCCGGGGCGGGTTAATTGTCGGTCGGGGCTCCGGGGCGGGTTAATTGTCGGTCGGGGCTCCGGGGCGGGTTAATTGTCGGTCGGGGCTCCGGGGCGGGTTAATTGTCGGTCGGGGCTCCGGGGCGGGTTAATTGTCGGTCGGGGCTCCGGGGCGGGTTAGTTGTCGGTCGGGGCTCCGGGGCGGGTTAGTTGTCGGTCGGGGCTCCGGGGCGGGTTAGTTGTCGGTCGGGGCTCCGGGGCGGGTTGTCGGTCGGGGCTCCGGGGCGGGTTGTCGGTCGGGGCTCCGGGGTGGGTTGTCGGTCAGGGCTCCGGGCAGGCTTTAAGTACTCAACTGGCGGGCTCTGGGTGGGTGACTGTTCGGGCTCCAGGTGGGTGTCTGTCCGGCTTCGGGTGGGTTCTTGGTAGGGCTTGGGGGGTGTGGGTACTTGGTAGGGCTTGGGGGGGGTGTAGGTTCTTGGTAGGGCTTGGGGGGGTGGGTTCTTGGTAGGGCTTGGGGGGGGTGTGGGTTCTTGGTAGGGCTTGGGGGGGTGTGGGTTCTTGGTAGGGCTCGGGGGGGGTGTGGGTTCTTGGTAGGGCTCGGGGGGGTGTGGGTTCTTGGTAGGGCTCGGGGAGGTGTGGGTTCTTGGTAGGGCTCGGGGGGTGTGGGTTCTTGGTAGGGCTCGGGGGGGTTTGGGTTCTTGGTAGGGCTCGGGGGGGTGTGGGTTCTTGGTAGGGCTCGGGGGGGTGTGGGTTCTTGGTAGGGCTCGGGGAGGTTGGGTTCTCTGTAGGGCTCGGGGTGGGTTCTTGGTAGGGCTCAGGGTGGGTTCTCGGTAGGGCTCGGGGCGGGCTCCAGGTACTCAACTGACGGGTTCCAGTTCACTCAACTGGCGGGCTCCGGTTCACTCAACTGGCGGGCTCCGGTTTACTAAACTGGCGGGCTCCGGGTGTTTGACTGGTCGGGCTCCGGGTGGGTGACTGTTCGGGCTCCAGGTGGGTGTCTGTCCAGCTTCGGGTGGGTTCTTGGTAGGGCTTGGGGTGGGCTCTTGGTAGGGCTTGGGGGTGGGTTTTGGTAGGGCTTGGGTTCTCGGTAGGGCTTGGGGGGTGGGTTCTCGGTAGGGCTTGGGGGGTGGGTTCTCGGTAGGGTTTGGGGGGTGGGTTCTCGGTAGGGCTCGGGGTGGGCTCTTTCGGGATCGGGATAGGCTCTCGGGCTTGGGGAACCTCTGTAGGGCTCGGGGTAGGTTCTTGGTCGGGCTCAGGGTGGGTTCTCGGTAGGGCTCGGGGCGGGCTCCAGGTACTCAA